ATTCCTGCCTCTTGGGTTAGTGCCACTACTATTTCCTCAGACAGCTTTGGCTTCTTCAGAACACATGTTCTTGTGTCTGCATGGACCATAGATTCTGTGTCATAGTAATTTTGACTGATATGCAGAGTTCCTTGACTTTTTTCTATATTATCTCCTTTTGTTTCCTCTTCTTTAATGAGTAGACTTATTCTGGGGATCCTGCTTTGCCCCTGGACCATTGCGGCTAGCAATTCTTCTTGAGGAGTTCAAGTTCTGGGAGCAACTGGAAGCGTCTGTGTCTGTGAGACTGCAGAATAGTTTTTTTTGTTATTCTTGAGCTTTGGGTATAGCCTTCAAAATTATATTCTTGTTAACTTGTTCAGAAGGTGGAAGTGAAGGTGTCCTTTCAGACTTTACTGGTACTGAAATACTGCTGGAGATACTTCTGTGCAGGACCCTCAATCACCATTTTCCTCCTCTTCTTTTCCTCCATGACTGCATTTTTAAAAAATTTAACAACTGAACTTACCACAGGCAACTTTCTCTTCTGAAATTTTTCTTCCCCAATACTCATTTTTTTTCTGACTTGTTTCTAAAGAAGGGACTATAAGTCTCTTCTATGCCTGTAAACACTTCTGGTTCACAGAAACATCCTGTTCATATACCTGGTTGTTCTGTCTGTCAAGTTGCTTGGCAGTATGAATACATTTCTGCTCTTGCTGGAACTGCAGTCTGTTTAAATGAGCAACCCTATCTGCACTGTGACTTACAGGTGGGTGATAAATTTCAATGGAAGAGCAAGAACCATACGTAAGTGTCACTGTAGGTTTTCTCTGAGATTAGGGATTCTCCTGTAGAAAACAGATCTGGTTACGGCTTAATATCAAACACATCTTTAGAGGGTTCTGGCTCCCTCAGAGGTTTCACTGTTGACTTTATTTGGGTTGCAGCTCCAACATCATAAGTCTGTCTGACATTAGTGGTTTTCTGCTCCGTGAACTTGTAGCAACTCTGGAATGTTTCTTTTCAGTACTTGAAACTGAAAGGGGTGGCACTGCAGCTTTGTGCCTTCCCTCATCTCCCCAACTGAAACTGCCCTTGTTTGAAGGCATGTTACTGTCAAAGATGTTGTTATCAGAAGACTTTAGACTAGAGGAGTCAGTTGTAACAGAGCAATTTTTGTCTAATATACCATGAAGCCATACAGTAAATCAAATTGTGTTGTTCCCTAGAACAGGGACAGGTCCTCTCTCATTTGGTCCTGACTTTTCTTGTTGGTCACCATCACTATAATGTCATCAGGAAGTTCTCCATCTGCATAAGCTCTTAATTCTTGCAATTCTCCTTTAATGGCACTCTCATGATTTCCATGAGTCAGGAACATTGAGCTTAACTGAGTCATCTGCTCAGGGTCTCACAAGGTTGCAGGCAGGCTGTGTTTCCATCTGGAGGCTTGACTGCGGAAGAATTCACTTTCAAGCTCATTTGGATTTTTAGCAGAATTAATTTTTTTTGAGGGGTGTGTATTCTAGTTTTGCTACAGTGAATATCTTTTTCCTTATATAATAAAAGTCATTATTAAAATATTTACTTGGGGCAACCATGTAACTGTTAGTGTTTTTCTACTTAAAATAACTGAACGCTGTATGTACTATGGGAAATGGTAGAAGAGAGAGAGAGACAGAGGGGGAGGAAGGCAGACAGACCTTTATACTTTTTATTATTTTATCATGTATATTTACTGTAAAGTTTTACATTAATCTTAGATTTTACAATCTAGAAAGAATTTTCAATGGAACATAGTAGTGAATAATGTTCACCAGATCACAGTCTACTCTCTGATTTAATTGTTCTCTTCTCCCTGAAATGTTGATTTTGCTCTGTAAGGAGCAAGTGACTTTCTTTTTCACAAGTCTCTCCACTGCCATGTCAGACACAGCTCTCAAAACCTTATTGGAGCTAATCAAGCTTTATCTACCAAACTCAAAATGGCATATGGCATATGGTCATATGAATCCTTTGGCTGATGAGTCCTGCTATGCATCTAATTGGTTTTATAAAATCCATGCTTGTAAAAGGATTCCACAGCTATAAGAGTGTGATGCTATGGGATGAAGGAATGTAGTGGCAAAGAGGTTACTTTAACTGCTACGCTGGAATGTGGTGCTCATCACCGCCACCAAATATTGTTAGTATATATCCCAACAAAGGAAGAATCCTAATGATTTTGAGTGAAAAATTTCTATCATACATTTCAGCTTAGATCTACTAATAACACTTCTTTAAATGCCTTGTTAGACAGTGAAATCTGGGAATGATTATCAAACACCATATACAGTGTTTACAATAGAATCGTATTTCTTTTCTTTCTCTTACCCCCCACCTTTTTTTTTTTTTTTTTGCATAAAAAGTAGAATGTTGCTGAATGGTACCCAAATGTCTGTTGTATACCATGCCAATACAGCAGCTCGGCCAAAAATGCAAATAGAACAGTTTGCCAAGTAAAAGAAAACATAACAAATTGGTAATGGTTTCTATCTTGACAGAAAATGAAAATGATCCCTCAGTATGTGGTCACTCATGTGGACACATAAAAATGTCTTAGAAGCAATCATTTTACCTCAGATAACAGACCCTGACAGTGTAGTACAACACTGGCTGACTTTCACTTCTTAGAAAAGCGCAACCGTGACCTAAAAAATAGTCTGGTAACCATGTAATTTATGCATAACACACATGCACATGCCATGCACTCATAATATTTGCTATAAATCATTTCTTTTCTGAGTGGAATATACTTTATGGGAGATGATCTAAACAACCAGAGACTTGATAAAGCTGAACTACCTTATTTATGAACAGAAATGATATTGCTGTATATCAGGTTACAAAAATTTCAGTCTGCATTACAATAAGAAGACACTATATAAGGGCCCAACGAATGTAATAAGATTCTACATAGTGCCTTGAACACTTATGGTATTAGATGTTCGATAAAACAAATACAAAAAACTGTGTAGGTACAGAGTGTACAGTTCTGACTTTCTGGCTTAGGAGATGCAACTGAAAGCAGAGCTGAACCCCTTGAAGACCTGGTAATGGTTCCTTTAACTTATCTCCCCTTCCTTTACCACTTATTTTTGTTCCCCAGATAGAGAATTGGTTAACATCATTGACCAGTGATGTTTTTCCCCATCCAGTGGAGTTTTCCCATTTGTTTAACTTTCTAATGTGGATGTTAGAATGATTGTATTATGAAAAGGCAAAAAAAAAAATGACATTTTAAAAAACACTAATTGGCATCTAAAGCTAATGAGGAATTTAAAATGAGAGAATACCGAACCTAGGGGTTAGGAAGATCCTTGGGAAGTTAAATGGTCTTGCCAAGTTAAAAATAAATTTGAGTCCTGTGGGTTATGAGTTTCACATGAAACTTCTGGGTTTAAATTTGTTGGTGACTTTCCTGTTCAATAAAAAAGGACTTAAATGGCTTATAAAAAGGTTAAAAAAACTTATTGGGCATCAAACTGCTCTTACAAAACACCATCTTGATGAGTTAAGTGTAAATGAATCAGAAACACATGGATCATATTTCCTTAAAAAATGCATATGGATTCAAAAATAAGGGGAAGAGAACTTGGCAAAACATTTATTGAGTGGAGGCGGAACCCAAAACATTTGAGAGATATTTTTAGATATTCAAGGAATCCAAAATAAAACTAAACCTGTACAGTCATATAAAAAACAGAAAGTTCTATGCAATGTACACTTATGTCTATGGGTCAATCAACACTCACTGAGTCTTTATCATTGGCACAGAATTATGGGAGGAGCCAGCTTCTGCCTATAAGCAACTTTGAATTTAAGTAGAAACAAATACACATAAGTAATACAAACCAATTAAAAGAGACCTAGGTTTTTTTTTTTTAATTGGCATCATACCCAGATCATACAGAAACTGTATACTGAGAAACATGCAAGTGTTTTCACAGTTCTAGGGCACATAGGATTCATTCCACTCAAATCATCATTCCCTCAGCCCTTTTGATTAAAGTTATATATAGCTGCAGTCTTACTTGCTTAAGTGTTTCTTAATAAGTGTTTTTATGTCTTTTTTAATGCATGTCCCAGCCCTCTTTCCTCCACCCTCTAGATTTGTGAGTGCTCAACAAATCTTGCTGACTGGTTTCCTGAAGGATGGGAGTGTTGAACAGAGTTTTGAAATAGGGCAGAGATGCTATTTGGCAGAGAGGAGTGAGGCTATGATTCTGCATTAGGGTAATGGCACATGTGACAGTTCAGAGGCTCCAGAGGGTGAGTCATGTGTGTGGGGTGGCCCGCTGGCTTGCCTGCAGTATATGCCTGAGCCAGGGTATAGTGGGAGGTGCAGGCAGTTAGGTGTGGGGAGTCCTAATATACTACATGTGAAGTCAACTAGAGGACAGAGGAATGTGATAAGGGAAAGCACAATTCTTTTTTTTTTTCTTTTTGCCAGTATAGGACAAAGTGCTAAGCACAGGACATGCACAAGCCAGTAATTCCTTTATTTCTTATCCATGCCTTAAAAAGCTGAAAAACATCCAAAGATAAAAACACATTAACTATGTAGGCATTGTTAGGATCCTGTAGGTCACAAATTGTTAAAGGAACTTAGTAGGATTATGAAATGGATTACTGAGTTCTATAATGTTTGTGGGAAAGTGTAAAAAACTGATGACTTAGAAAATTTAAGGCTGTTTAATGTGAATATTATCTTTTCCACAATACTAGAAAGTTATTTAGGGCAGGGATAGTGTCATGTTTCTTGTGTATTTTGCACTGGCTAGCACAATACTAGGTATTCACCAAGCAATCAAAAAATGCTTACTGAAGCGAGATGAAACAAAAGGGTGCTAAGACCCTGTAATGACCGGGGTATGATTTAAGGTAAAGCCTGAAAAAAAAATGTAGAAATGTCCTAATAGTGCCTCTGCTCAGAGTCTATTTGTTCATGGTTAATATAAAGAAATCAAAGCCCTTACCATCCTTCGTCATCTTCTACTTCTGTTTCAGAAACATCATTTTCAGGAGTTTCAGCAATTGCTTGAGTGAGTTTAGATTTAAACTGGTTCAGCAGCGCAAGGGTCTGAAATAACAATTAGACTGCTAAGTTTTCTGATGAGGATAAATGTAATTTTAGAAGGGACACTTAAATTTGGTAGAAAAGAAAATAGCCTACCAGGATGAAAATACTTAGACTTTTAATTTTGGAGGAAAATAACAAAACTGCAGCAATGATTGATATTCACAAACCTTGACAATGCAGCTTGCCTTTGCTCTAACGTTTTCCTGCAGAGATAACATGACTCTTCTGATTTGGAAAGTGTAAATTTACTTATAGAGAAGACCCTTAAACTTTAAATTGCATGCTTATTAGTAGGGAAGTTTTTAACATCCACAGGACAGGAAGGTACTTCACTAAACTATATGTATGTGAAATCAAAAAACACACAACAAATAGTATCTTTCATTGAAAAAATTTCCAGAAATGTAAAAACATCAACGTTGAGGAAGGTTAAATGAATGAACACATCAAGTGTTGGAAGATGGGTAAACTGGAGTGATGTTTAAAAATCTGTTAATATGTATCTGAAAATTTTAAGATGATCATTCCCTTTTATTTAATAATTTCCATCCTCGGGAATACATGTAGAAAATAATCTGAAACACAAGAAATGATTCATGTAAAAGATGTATACTGCAGCAATATTAATACAAGTGGAAAAATGGAAACTAATAAGGAACTAGATAAATTTGGAAAAAATAAGTAATGAATATACTCTTCTACTGATACTAAAAATTGTATAATGAAGCATTATGTTCTACTGTTAAGTGAATGAAGTAGGATTCTCTCACAGTTTATGAGTATCACGTTAAATATTTATTTTGAAAAAGAGACCATTTATATTGTACCTTGGATATACCTCAATGGCTTATTCCCATTTGAGCAGAGAACAGATGTTAAAAAAAAGTTTTTTTATCCTACAGTTTTAAAAACCATGTAATTGTGAAATGGGATAAAGTGCTACCTGTCTAAAAATCAAGGGTCTAATTAAGATACTGACATTGAATTTGGTACTAACAAACTCATGGTTCATAAGGAAAAAGACATGTGGTATTTCAATATGTGAATAACAGCTATATTAAGGAGTTGAAACAAATTGCTAGGCTCCAGCATTTATCTAGGAAATATCATTAAGACTACAGTTTGTGAAAAATTATGTAGGTTTTGGTGGTCTACAACTTAAGCTCAATCAAGACAGGTGTCACCAAAATCACTGCAAGAAACAAGGACAGGTATTGCTAAAAAGTGATAGTGAAAAGTATCTTAACCCATTTCTGTAAAATTTAATGGTCACATGGACAACAGCTAAAAATAAATTGCCATAGCTGCTGAATGAGATGAGTTTTTAGGGAAAACTATAAATTCCTATAGAGGATTTCCTCATAGGCATTCTGAGGGCTGCCTAGTGTGTTAGGAGGGTTTAGATACTTTATTTGTTTCTAGAGTAGTAATTACAGGACTAAGCTTTTCAAACAATGTTCACAGATAAAGAAAGCATCCCTTGTTCTTAAATATTATTCATTAAAATAAAAAACTTTGCTTACAAACTTTTATTGTTATCCTTTGTAAGAAAAGTTTATTGTAGAAATACTAGAAAATTAAAAACATGCAAAACAAAAATACCTGTTATCCTATCACTGAGAATAACCATTTTTGATATATATCCTTCAAGACTTTCTATGTTTTTGTGTGTGTGTATGTGCTTATGTATCTGTACCTATATTATATACACATAAATTTCCATATACATATCTCTATATCTACCTGTCTGTCTATTGGCTAAAAGTAAACTCCATCAGTTTTCAATGATGAGCTTTTGTGCACTTGGAAATGTCTTTTCTGAGGGCATAAAGAAGAGTGAAAACAGGAGACTTCTTCAGGGGAATGAAATTTAAAAACTTCCTAGAAATTATGCTAGACCTAGACATTTTTCCTTGAGGCGAAGTGTCAAAGCAGTCTCTTTTTACAGCCAATTAATGTGCTACTGGCATTTGCACAAAGAAGGGGCACAGTGACAAGCAAAAAGTATCCTCCTGGCCTTTCTTGGCTTTTATATTTCAGATCGGACTTCTCTAGCTACATTCCGAATGCAAGAGATGACACAGGGCAGAAAAACATCACAAAAATAATGGGGCACAACATAGGGTGACGAAGAGGATCTGCATGGAAGCTTTTGTGTTTGGCATCTACAGGGAAATTAGTCTTCTGGTTTTTGCTGAAGGAATGAATGGTCAGCTGCTTACAGCATGGACCCTCAGCACAGCGAGAGCCTACCCCACATGGAGAAGATGTTTTCACAAAACCCGGCTGCAGCAGACTGTGCATGTATATCTATACACAGGAGTCTCTCATCTGGCCTATGTGCCTCCACGCCTGCCCTGGGTCCAGTCTCTTCTCTATGCTGCAGGCAGGCTGAAGGGATCTTCCCAAGTTGCTCATGAGAGCATATCACTTTATTCCTTCGGTTCTCCCCATTGCTCTTTAGGTAAAATCTCAGCTCCTTAATATGGCTCCAAAAAACCTGGCATGAGCTGGCTTCTGCTTACCTCTCCAGCCCCATCTCACTCTCACAGTTTATTTTCCACTCATACTTGACGCTTTGAGGTCTTTACAAAGGGATCAAAGACTTCTCACACAGTGTTCCTTTTGTCTAGCCACATATCTCCTAGTTGACCTCCAAAGTTCAGCTGACAAATCGTTTTTTCAGGGAGGCCTTCCCAGATTCTTAGGACATGTTAGGGCCTACTGTTATACATTTACATTGTTTCCCAAACCTAGCCTGTCATAATACTCTCTCCCTTTTATTGGTATTACTTGTTTTACTGGCTCTTTTCCCTGACAGCTCAGGGAGGGGAGAGATGTGTCCACCTTGTTTACCACCAAATGCAGTGATTAGTACATGGTTAGGTTCTTCATAATCATTTGCTAGGAGGGGAAAAAAGAGGAATGCACGAATAAGAATGATCCTTTGTATCTTTGGTAGTATTTTCACTACAGTTGTTATTAAAAGGACTTTGTGACTCCACGGGAACAAGCTAATCAACGTACTTTTTCTTAATTTCATTTGATGTGCCATTTATTTTGAAAATTGCACAAGTTAGTTCTTTGTAATTACATTTTCCTATACCTGACTTCTTGTTGAGCTTTCCTGATGATCATTTTCATGCTGACTACAGATGCATGACCCTTCCTTACCAGTAATTTGGTGTTATTTATAATATAGTTCTTGATTATCAGATTAATTTATCCCAATAGGCTTGGGCTTTAAAATTTACTTTTATTTTGCCTATTTCATTTATACCCTTCAAATGGCATGTTTATATATATATGGCAGTACCCAAAATAAATGATTTTCATTTGCCCCCTACCTTTTCAACATGAAGGTAACTGAGGAGATTAATTTTACTGAGTGACAAGTGCTGCATGGTGTGTATGGTTGACTCCTAAACTGTTGAGTTAGCTTCCTGTATCTTTTTCATTTTTGATATCTGACAATCCTCTATATTACTACATTAAGATTCAGGAATTACTTGTAATAGGCAGAGTTCTATAATTACATACAGTAGAAGTCAACTAGTGGACCAAATCCCTTATTTACAAGCAGTGTGCAATCTCAAGCAGAGCTGGCTAGTCAGCATGAGAGCAGCCAGGCTACAAGACATCCCTTCATCATTTATAATCACTACTTCTCCATTTCATAATATTCACTTAGACAAAGGTTCTACCGGAATATCTGAAAATATGTGGTTTTACAAGGTTCCTATGCTTGATATGGGAGTACAAGGTTGAAACCTGAATGTTTTAGGCTTTTTGTCTACAATGTCTGGAAAGAACTCTATCATTTGGGCCTTTCCATGGGTGGCCAAGATCCTTGTCACCCCACCCTATACAAATATATCCTTTTTCATTTGTAAGAGGTAATGCTTTCCCCCTTGTATAATCAATAGGCTCCTTTTAAAACATTTGAAGACAACTGAAAGGCAATGAATTACATACGGATTTTGGTTTGGGAAGTTACCTGATCTTCCCGGGATGTTCCTTTCTTTGCCTGCTGCTTCCTCAAAGCTTCATACTTTTGCTTTTCTCTTCTGTATTCTGCAACAGCACCATCTGGAGCAAGCTCTTCCTCTGAAGAGTAAGAGAATAACCTTAGGATAAATAGTAATAAGACTCTATGGATTCACATTAATATCTACATTCATATCACAGAAGAGGAAGTCAGAATCTAAGACTGGTTTTCCTTCATTTAATTTAAAAATCAAAGCAATAAGCTCTAACAGCTCCACAACTATGTCCTAGATTAGAAAGTGACTGATGTTAATTTATCAACCAATTTAAAAAATATCTTTCTTATACATTGTACCACTGTAGCTGTTCTTATTTGTACTTATTTGATTATAAAATGACCCATCTATCTCACTTTTAAACAATTAAGGTTTTCCTAAAAGTCAGCAATGCCATTTTACATTATTTCTTTGCCTTATCAATGCAATTTTTTAATACTGGTTGATTTTCCAATTACCTGCCATGTTTGTTCCACAGTTAAAACAACAACTAATTTAAACAACAAACAACTTCAATTTGATGGCATAATAAAAAATAAATATGTCTAAGAAATTAGTCAGGACAGTTACTAGAAACAAAAATAACATTTACTAAATTAGAAATTAGAAAACAAGTCAGTAGATTTGATTCTGCAAAAATTCCGTATGAAGATTATTAACATATACTTTTAAAGAACAATTTTGCCTCAAGAAAACAAGTGCTAACATACTAACATTTTACAATACCTTATATGTATATGCATTAATGGAAATTTGTTTCTTAAAAAAAACCCAGCCTATCTCTTACGGTCTTGGGCTAGCAAACCAAGATGAGCAAGATGTAATCAGCACAAGTAATCTTTCTATTCAAGTTTGTTTACCTCTTTGCTAACTAGTTTGAAGAATGGTATTAATGTGGAATGTATTAAAAACCTCCCATTTTGTTCAATAGATTTTCTAACTAAAAAAAAAAAGTGTCAACTAAGAATCAAGTAACTTTTTATGGTTACCTAATATGATTTTGAAGCCAGTCAAAGGGTAAAAAAGGGTTCAAATATCTAATGTATAGCATGGTGACTATAGTTAATAATACTGTGTTGCATATTAGAAATTTGCTAAGAGAGTTGATTTTAAGTATTCTTAACACACACACACACACACACACATGAATGGTAACTATGCAAGGTGATGGATATGTTAATTAGCTTGATTGTGGTAATCCTTTCACAATGGCTTCTCTAGATCTTGGCCTTCTGAGATATTTAATTGCCTTGCTTAAGGATGTTTTTCCCCCTCTTCTTGATTTTATTTCTAATCAAAATGTATAGGCAAACAGCTTCAGGTGGACTGGTTTTTCATTTATATACATCTGTGATACCGGTATTAAGCCTCCTAAGGTTCTATTTGGACTGCAAAGAAATTGTAACCCAAACATTTTTACATGGTACATATAGTCAAATACATCTGTTGCACAAACCCAAATGTGTGAAAAATCTGGTCAACTTTTCTACTTCCCAACTGGGACTATCATATTAATATAAAGTGCTTCTTTTTAGTGTATGATCACAGCACATTCATTTTTCATGTTTTCATTTCTCAGCAGTATGCTCAGAGTAATTTCCTTAGCTCTATATTTCTGTTCACTGATTCTCTGTTTAGTTGTATCTAATCAGTTTTTCAGACATAAACTGAGTCATTGATTTTAATAATTATATTTTTTATTTCTAAATATTTTACTTGGTTCTTTTTCAAATTCACTCACTCTTTTTTTGATAGCCTTAGTCTGTTACTATGATTTTTATTCCTTTAAAAATCTCTTTAATTATTTAAAACATGCTTGTTATGTTGTATCTTTCAGATTGCTTTTGGGGATCCTTCTGTTAAGTCTCTTTCTCCCTAGAGTGATTGTCTCTCATTGTGTTTTCTAATTTTTTATTTTAAGTTTATCTTTGGCTAGAGCTGGATTTCTATGATGCTCCATAGGAATCCTAGGCACCTAGATTGTTGTTGTAAGAGTTCCTATAGGGAATTTTTGAATTTGTTTCTATCAGGAAATTAAAGAGTTCCATCGATTCAGAGCCATTTTATTTTTCAGGTTAATTATTGGCATAGGATTCCTGAACCATATATAGCCTTTATAGCCATACCTGGTAGAGGTTTAGAGTTTTGATTTTTATGAGAGACTTATTAAACATATTTTCTTCCTAAACACAGCTCTGAAAAATGACAAGCTTCTTTGTGGTTTTCCTGACCAGGTAAACAACTTTTCTAGTTTCCACCTCTCTTGACTCAAGGCTACATCTCTGTCCATGTGAGATTAAAACCCCAGCTTCTAGCTACTAGAGCCTACATCTGGTTCTAATATCCTCCTGGGCAACTATAGTATCAACTTGCCCACTGAATAGCTCTGGTTATGCTTTCCCTGTATTCCTGGGACCCAAGAATTCCTTTTCTTCCTTTCTTACCTTCTCTTTCTCTCTCTCTCAAGCTTAACTAAGTACTTAAATTAGGCTGGGCCATATTTTTATACAGCATTTCTATATATTTTTAGGAAAAGGAAGTTCTGCGTTAACTCAGTCCATGTTGCCAGAACAGGAAGTAGCACATTCATTTCTCATGTTCTTGAATCCCCCTGAATAAACAAAATTGAATAAGTGACTGGATGATTTTCGTGACATAAAACTGGCTCAAAAAATACACAAGGAGTTTGAAAAATTCAGTTTCTCTTGGGTCAGAGTGCTCTATTTTTACTTTTCTTATAAAATTCAATATACACTGGATGATAACTTATAAATAATAATGATGTAATATGATGACTATTTGTCATTAACTGAAATTTCTCTAAAACATATGCTAAAAAAATAGGAATGAAGAATTGTGGGGAAACATTTACTAAGGACTTCCTATTATGTTATGCATGCTAAGGTGCCTTAATTATCCATGAAAAATATCCATAAACCTACTTTACAAATGAGGAAACAGGATAGAACCACAATTAGAATATAGTAAGGCTGGGATTTGAGTCCAGGTCTTTATGATACTAAAGGCCCACGCTGTGCCCTACTGTCTTCAATTAAAACTTTGGTTCAGAAAAGAAAATTTACTAAGTGTCGCCCATACGTTTGGCACTCTGAGAAATGCTGTGAAAGATATCTAAAATATATTTGATACAGGCTTTTTGTTCTAGAAGGTAATCTAAGGGGTGAAATGAGTGCAGCATATGTGAAAATACTTAAGAAATCAAGCTATTGAGTATAAATATCAAATGGCTGATTCTTGGATAGAATACCAACTTCCTAGTGGGCTTAAAGCTTATCTATGTTATAGTGTTAGAAAAAAATGTTTAAAGTATTCTGGCTATCTCTGAGATAAAATAAGGTAATATATTTGAAAGGGCTTGGTGAAGAAAATGTCCAACATCAATATAACCATCAATTTACCACAGGAGCATCAATTTATTAGAGCACCAGAACTAGAAATTAACTTGAAGATCTTCTAATATAGCTCCTCAGTTTACAGGTGAGGTCACCAAGGTTCAGGTGAGTTACTTAGCTAGGATTCCGTGCAGAATAGCAGCAGAGCCTGTGCTAAAACCTGTGTTCTGACTCTTAGTTTAAGTGACAACCTGTAAAGAGACTGAGGTTAATTTCTATACTTTTGCCTCTGTATATTATAAAGAATGTTTCTAACCCTTCTCTTAGGAGCTAGTCAGAAACTTAATTATTGCTCCACTTGAATTCTTTGTTACAAAACCTTTTTTGTTCCAAGTATAAAGGAGTGATGACTATTCAACTATAGGTTACTTAGCTAATGAACCAATGGTATCCATCTACACATCTCATTTTATAGATAAAAGGGCTTATACCCTCTACTGTCTCAGGACCAGAGCTCAAAAACCTAACACCTCCAAGTAGCTCAACATTCATTGATAATAAAAAAAAAAAAATTTACTGAATGATTATTATGTGTTGGAAAATGCTAGTAACTGCTTATAAATGGTTTAAAATAGACCTAGACCAACTATTTCAAGGAAACTTTTTTAAAATTCCCATAATAAATGAAAACTTTTATATAAATAAAAGTAATGTGTTAGTGAAAATTTAGCAAACAGCATTTAAAAACAAAAGGGATACACTTTAATGAACAGAGAAAAATATCAATGCTATTTATATATAGCTATTATCTCATCACATTTTCTGGAAGCTACAAAGCATATTTTTATGAAACTTTATATACATCAGCTCTTCAATTAATTCTAGGAAAAGTACCAGACTTGAAAATAGCTAATATGATAGCTAACAGTTCAAGTTATTTACTATGTGCCAGATATTAGTATCTGATTTACTTGTTTAATTCTCAAAATCAACATTAGCCCCTTCTGCCGATAAGGAAACTAAGGCAGTATGAGGTTAAATAACTTCCTTATCTCAGGGATTATGAACACAGGGATATAAACCCACCCATGTAGTCATGGGTTTATATGGGTACAAGTTCACAACCAGCTTGGCTATTTCTTTTTCATGTCTGAGACACAAGAAAACTTAGAAGAAAATATTCCAATTTGACATAAAAAGGCATCAGGTCACCAGCTGGATGTATCCTGATGAAATAAGATCCTACCAAAAAAGGCCCTACATACCTTCTAGGCTATAGTAAATAGGAAGTGCAGTCTGCCAAAGTGTGGGTTTATATAAATAATATCTACCTAGAAAGAATCCTTTATGGCTGTTTCTTGATTCTCCTTAATTGAATATTTCCCCCTCATCTGAACCTTTAAACACTTTGTAGCTTCTATCACACCATATTGTAACAGCCACTTTGTCCTGCCCCATAGGACACACACGGCAGGGACTGTGCCGTTTGTGGCCTAGCATATAGCTTGCATACAGTATGTACTCAATAAAAAGTAGCTGAATGGACAATGAACAGATTGATCATATTTAGATCTTAAATTACAATAGTGTCCACAGTTGCCTTACTGCTCTTGCTGTATGGAATGGGGGCTTGCACAAACTTTGGGAACCTAGCATAAAAATACTTTCTCAATAGATAATTGCCCATTGAGTTGAGTTTTAAGGAATTTGA